TGGAACAAAACTCAAAATCATAAAAAAAAAAAAAGGACCAGGTTTGCTGGTCTGATAGAGCCTGGTGGAACCCCTGACACTATGGCCCCTACCTGCCCTTCAAGTCTGGAATTGAACCCACTCCTGTGGCTTCCAGGCAAACAAAAGACAAGCATATGAGCTGAACATTTACATTAGGTAATTAGATATACTCCTTGGAGAGATCAACTTTGGAAGAACAGAAGGGCTGTGTACGCACAGGGAGACAGCTCCAGGGACAAAAGTGCATGGGAGGGAAGGACACAGGGAAGAGGTGATGGAAGTAGGAAGAAAACTGTTACATTGTGGGGAATTGCAGTCAATGTCATGATACAAAATGGGTATGAACTGCTGTATGGAAAATGAATTTGCTCTGTAAACTTTTACCCAAATCATAATAAAAATTACAAAATAGAAAGAAAGAAAAAAGCCCAGGGAAGACAAGGCTGTGAGGCATGTGCTGAGACAGAGACATGGGCCCTCCTGGAAAATGAAACACATGGTTCCCAGTGTGGCAGAGAAAGGGCAGGGAGCCACCAGACCTGAGACCACATAGGCCAAAGAGATGGTAACTTCAGCAATGACCTCAGTGGACCAAAAGTGCAAGGACAGTGTAGTGTGTGGGCATCTTGCCATAACCCAGAGGAGCAGAGGGTGAGGAATACCAAAGACTCAAAGGAAGGTTCTCTACAATTTGCAAAATGTGTGGCTTGGAATAGCAGAGTTATAGAAAAGACTAATGGTAAGGATTTCATTTTACTTGGATCCACAATCAATACCCATGGAAGCAGCAGTCAAGAAATCAAACAATGTATTGCATCAGGAAATATGCTGCAAAAGACCTCTTTAAAATGTTAAAAAGCAGAGATGTCACTTTGAGGACTAAGGAGTACCTGAACAAAGTCATGGTACTTTCAGTCACCTCATATGTATGCAAAGCTAGGCAATATTCTGAATAAAAAAAAAGAAAAGAAAAATCGATGCATTTGAACTATAGGGTTGTCAAAGAATACTGAATATACCATGGATTACCAGAAGAAAGAATAAATCTGTCTTGGAAGAAGTACAGCCAGAATGCTTCTTAGAAGTGGAAATGGCAAGACTTTGTACCATGTACTTTGGGCATGTTATCTATCAGGAGAAACCAGTACCTCAACAAAGACATCATGCTCAGTAAAGTACAGGGTCAGCAAAAAAGAGGAAGACCCTCAATGAGATAGATTGACACAGTGGCTGGCTGCAACAATGGGCTCAAATTAGCAAGGATTGTGAGGATGGTGCAGGACTGGGCAGTGTTTTGTTCTGTTCTACATAGGGTTACTATGAGTCTGAACCAACTCAATAGCCCTAACAACAACAACCACAACAACAGTTTTTCCCACCTGAATATCAGACTGAAATTTATTCTAGCTACTCCTTTTTTCGAGTACCCAGGGTTTTTGATGGGCTTCCATGCCTGTATTCCCTCTGGAGGAAGGTTGGGCAATCTACTTCTGTAGTGATAACACCTTGGAAACCCAAGGAGCGGTCGCTGTGAGTTGGGTCTGATTCAAAGGCACACAACAACAACAACAACAACAACAACGCTATGAAGAGTGGTCAGAGGTACAGAGTAAAGACCAAATATTGTATTACTCCACTAATTTTTATTGTAAAAAATGAAGGAAAAAGGGTACACATGAAAGGAAACTTTCTTTGTTGGTTACCGGGGACAGGAGGAATGGGAATGGAAAATTGCTAGATAGGTTTAAAATAAATAAACAAACAAAGATAGTTACATACATATGTTGGAAGGAAGGTTGGACAATCTACTTCCATAGTGATACTGCCTCGGAAACCCAAGGAGGGGTCACGCTGTAAGTCAGGGATGAGGACTCCACAACATATGACAACAACAACAAAACAATATATACGTATATATTTACATATATGCATTTATGTATATTTATATACATATGTATTTATATACATTTATTTACATACATATATGTATATACAAAAACTAAAGATTATTTGTGGTTACCAGGGGTAGGAGGGAAGGGGAAAGGGGAAGATTTTGTTAGTGGTACATTGAGTTTATGATAATGGTGGTGAATATTTTGGAAAAGGCTACCAATAATGGTGGCACAACATGAAAAATGTCATCAATGTCCCTGAGCTGAAAATATGGAAATTATTATGTTGGTGAATGTCTTGGTGTGTATATTTTCACCACAATAAAAGTAAAAATTATAATAATAAAATGATGTGAAATAGACTCCCAGCTATGGTTTCCAGGCAGAGGGCCTAACTTTCATGGAACAGATTACTGGCAGAAGTGAGAAATGCCTGGAATCTAACCACTTCTCGTCACCTCCACCACTACAACGATGGTTCAAACTACCATTATCTCTTTCTAGACTGTTGCAACAGTATCCTAAACAGTCTCCCCACTTCTGGCCTTGCCCCTGCAGTCAGTCCTTCTCACAGCACTCACACTGATTGTCTTGAAACAGAAATCAGATCATGTAACTTATCTGCTCACAATTCTGCTATGGCTCCTACCTTACTCAAAGAAAAAGCCAAATTCCTCACAATGACTCACAAGAGCCCACTCATACGTCCCTCCTTCCCCATTACTTCTTTGACCTCATCTCCTCTATTCACCCTGCTCCAGCCCAGCCATACTGGCCTCATGGCTTTCCTTAAGTATCCTGAACATTCTTTCACTTTGAAACTTTGGCCTCATTGACCTTTCTGCCTGGACCACATCTCCCTGCTTTTCTCCTACCTCACCTATTCCACTGCCTAGATTAGATATCAAGAAGCAAAACCCCTGCTCCTTACCTCTCTTCCCCTGCTCTCCACCAAAGGTCACCCAGTGACATGCCACAAATTTCAGTGTCAGCTCCACAAACAAGAGGTAATCAATGCTTACCAAATAAACGTATTTGAAGGGAGAAGGTGAAAGATTTGCAGCAATCACTGGGCTCCTTCACACCTACAATGTGGCCTCTGGAAATCCCTGCCTGTGGGAAGACTTGTCCTTGGTACTAATCAGGTGTTCAGGAGCAATGGCTCTGGAGTCACGGGGACTTGGATTGACCTGGTCCAGTTTTACAGGTCTCAGTTTTCTCATCCGTTATATGGGGATAATAATAGTACCAATTCATTGGGTTGTTGTGTGAGATTAAATGAGATATCCATGTAATTTGGTGACCCTACCTGTTAACCTTACCTGTTAACACTTTGTTGTTGTTGTTAGGTGCCATGGAGTTGGTTCTGACTCACAGTCACCTTATGTACAACCGAAGGAAACACTACCCGGTCCTGTGCCATTACATTTATTCTTATTTAGCATTTACTAGGAGTGGCTACCCTTATATAATGATTCATTGGTCTCTGTCATTTAAATCAGCTTTTTGAGAGTTTGCTCAATCTGAGGCAGGCCCTGTGTGAACTGACTATGGCAAACATGCTTCTAATAACTTTAAGCCAAATGGGGTGCAGCCTAAAGTGACCCACCTGTTATGATAGACTGAAGAACTATCTATGGCCCTAGGGCTGGGAGTTCTAAGCTACCAGACAATTCACTTTCCCTTAAGTTGCCAGGACAAACCATTGGCTCGCTCTCTGGTGCTCCTGGAAGTCTGTAAGTTGAACTTCATGATTTTGCAGCTTTGGCTCAAATACCCAAACAAGTGTCTACAGCAGCTTACTCCTATTCTGAAGGCCTACCACCAACTGATATCCTGTGGGCCTCAGCTAAACCCACCATGGCAGGCTACCCACATGGGGTGGGTGGGTGGGGCAGGATCAGCTGATTGGAGGCTAATGAATGTCTTCTTCACAACAGTCCCCATCATCCCCAACCCCACCCCACCGCTTAGTCATCTGAGATCATTTAGTGTCTCCAAGGCTAGGGGGTCCAGCCAGAAGCTCTGATGAAGCAAAAAGCTCTGGACACTTACCCTGGAAACTCAAGGTAGGGAAGGCCAGTGGCTTGCAGCTAAACCACCCTAAACCCCCATTTATGCCATAACCTGTGCAGCAGAAGCTCCAGGAAGGCAGGGCCTGAAGCGGTTAGACAAGGAAGGTTTGTTGGAACCAACCCCAGATTTCCGTACGGGGCTTCTTCTCAGACTACCTCTCTTGAAATCCTCAGGACTTGCTACTTTCCCTAGAAGTGCCCCTCTGTGTCTGCAAGTAATGTCACCAAACAAGTTGGCTTAATCGGCTTTTCTAGTGTGCCTCCCTCTCTTAGGCAAGAATGGAAGGGGAAGGGCCTGCCTGAGCACCTCCCAACTGGAGCCCCACCTACTTTACTCCCTCTTCCAACTTAGATGATTCCTGCCTTGATCTTTCAGGGAATTGTCTACCTGGGAGGGTGGTGCCAGGGGCATGGCATATGGCGGACATGTAGCAGACAGGGTCCAGGTGAGGCTGTGCTGTGACTGCTTCAGCAAGATGACTGCTCCTCAGGCTGAGAACATAGCCTGGTTCTTGTCACTATTGTCAGCCACTCCCCTCTCTGACAAAGGCTGCTCCCCACCCCCACCCCCCCACCCCCCGCAAACTTGAGCCCAGAAAGGGTGGCTCAACTAGTACAAGGGGCAATTCAGTTATCTGAGCCAGGGCATCCTTGAGAGCAAAGTCCTCAGCCCCAAGGTCCTTCAAGGCGCTGCGTGGCTCACCCCATAAGTCACCTCTACAGCTCTTTGACAGGATTCTGTGTGAGTTGTGGGGCGAGTCATACCTGGCCACTATCCCGGAAAGGACCTCGCCCTCCCGACCACAGGATGGATTCCAGGCCTCACGCCTTTTCTATTACCCAGTTTTGGAGCTAGCCGGCCGAGGGGCTCCACGAAGACCCAGTCCTCATATCGTGGACGGCAGAGGCCCTCAGGCTTGAAGCTCTCTCTCTCCAAGGATGACAACACTCAGGTCTCTCTGCACCCCCAGGCCACGTGGTTTGGCAGTCGGGCTTACCTGTTTCTCCCGGGGGGCCCAGAACGCACATAGGGTGCTGGTCACTGCCCTCTGCTAGCCTCCCGGGGGGGAACCGGGGTCTGACCCGGCCCCGCCTGAAGACATAGATTCGCGGGGCCACGGTTCCCTGCGGATGCAGACATAGCCACAGCGTGGGCACTGCGTCTTCCCGCAGCCCCTTGCCGGGTCGCTGGCCCAGGTAGACTGCCCTCTTTTCTCTCGCGGCCGAGGCCCGGCTCCAGCCTCTCGCCCGGTCCGCCCCCGGGGTGCATTGTGGGAAATGTAGTCGGTCGCGCGGGGCCGCCTGTGGCGCCGCCGGGACGGGTCGGAGCGGAGGGGTCTTGGTAGAACAGAGGGCGGGACTGACCGGGAGGAGGATTGTCTCATCAGGCTTCTCCTTGTTCCGCGTTCTGGCTAGGGAACCCAAATCCCAGCACGGAATACGAAGCCGGACTCCTCAGCCTTTCTGGCCCGAGCCAACTCGAGATTTATTTCAAGGGAGAGAAAGGAACATTGTCTTTGTTTCCTCCAGTGATTGGGGAAAAACTTTAAGTTTCGGTGGCTGGATAAATATCATTAGTCGGCCAGGACACACGGGATGTAAGAGATGTAGGCATGCGCAAAAGCAGCAATAAGCGTTGCCAGAAGCATCCCTTGGCCTTCGAGTAGATACTGACTCATACCGACCCTATAGGACGGAGTAGAACTGCCCCATACAGTTTGCAGGGCTGTAATCCTTACGGAAGCAGGCATCTTTTTCTAGGTTCGCAGAGGAGCGCTTTAACCACTGCATCACCAGGGCTCCGTAATGTCCTAAATTTAACATGTTAACACGTTTTAACATACCAGTATGAGGCTCTAGAACAGTAGTTTTAACTCTGCCTGCACACAGAATGACCTGTTTTAAACATCACTGGGAGCTCTGGTGGCATAGTACCTAAGGCATGTGACTGACTGTTAACCAGAAAGCTGGTGGTTCAAACCCACCAGCCACTCCCCGGATGGGCAATCTACTTCTGTAGTGATACTGCTTCGGAAACCCAAGGAGGGGTGGCTATAAGTCAGATCCTCCATGGCAGTGGGATTAGAGTGCTTGGATACCACCTCTAGAGATTTTTATTTAGTTGGACTGGGTAGGAATCCACACATCAGTATTTTTTAAAGCTCCCCAAGTAATTCATATTTATTCAGCCAGAGCAAGCAACCACTGCTACAGATGTATGTGATTTCCTAGACAAAAATAAATAAAAACAGGAAAACATAAGGCTTTCCCAAATGGTCATTATTTTTGGATAACTGTTTAAAGAAGCAAAAATAGGGAATAAGAACAGTACTTTTCATATTTTCTCTGCAGCAATTAAATCACTCTACAGCCTTTGTAGTTCATTCCCCCAACGGCTCTGGGATTAAGGACAAAGTCTAAAATCGCTTATAACTCTCCCTACTGTTCTAACAATCATTCCAGTGTGGTGTCCTGTCACCTTCTCATGCCTAACACTGGAGTAAGAGAGCTTCACCTTGGTTCTTTCCAAATGGCCTCAGATGATTGTGGCTTATAGTCTACTTACACAACACTGGCCTGTGACAACGTAATAAAGTTGCTGCCTTCTATTGGAGATAATTTTGCACAGGACTATTAAGGCAAAGAAGAATTGATACATTTGAATTGTAGTGTTGGGCAATAATCTTGAAAATACCATGGACTTCCAGAAGAACAAACAAATCTGTCTTGGAAGAAATACAGCCAGAATGCTCCTTAGGAAGCGAGTATGGCCAGACTTCATCTCACCTACTTTGGTCATGTTGCCAAAACAGACTGGTCCCTGGAAAAAGACATCATTCTTGGTAAAGTAAAAGGTCAGCAAAAAAGAGGAAGACCCTTAACGAGATGGATTGACACATTCCAGCATAGCAAAGATTGTGAGAATTTCGCAGGATTGGGCAGTGTTTTGTTATGTTCTGCATAGGGTCACTATGAGTCAGAGGTGACCATTTGGACAGCACCTCACAATAGTAACAACATGAAGCCCTTGGAGCCCTAGTGGCACAATGGTTAAGAGCTTGGCTGCTTGTATAAATTGCTGAAAGGGAAACTAATTTGCTCTGTAAACTTTCACCCAAACCACAATAAGGAAAAAAAAAAAAAAAAGCTTGGCTGCTAACCAAAAGGTTGAAAGTTCAACTCTCCAGCTGCTCCTCAGAAGAAAAGACCTGACGATATGTCTCCATAGAGATTTCAACCTAGGAAACCCTGTTGTTGTTGTTGTTAGGTGCCTCTGAATCAGCTCCTACTCATAGTGACCCTATGATGGAATGGAATGAAACACTGCCCAGTTCTGCGTTAGCCTCACAATCCTTGCTATACCTGAGCCCATTGTTTCAGCCACTATGCCAATCCGTCTCATTGAGGGTTTTTTCCCTTTTTCGATGATCTTCCACTTTACCAAGCATGATATCCTTCTCCAAGGAATGGTCCTTTCTGACAACATGACCAAAGTAGGTGAGATGAAGTCTGGCCATTCTCGCCTCCAAGGAGCATCCCGACTGCACTTCTTCCAGGGCAGATTTGTTAGCTCTTCTGGCAGTCCATGGTACTTACAGTATTCTTTGCTAACACCACAACTCAAAAACTCTTTTCCAGTCTTCCTTTGGGATTCTGTATGAGTCACAATTGACTCCACACACACAACAGCATTAGGACCTTTGCCTATAGTTAAGGGAAGTTTTCCCCTTCTTTTATGGTAAATCTCTTTCAAGGAAATGTCCAATTCCTTAATAGAATGGAGTCTCTCTTTGTCCTCTCAAGGCACTCAGTATTTTCTCACCTTACTAGTTCATAGGGAGCTCTGGTAGCATAGTGGCTAAGGCACTTGACTGCTAACCAGAAGGCTGGTGGTTCAAACCCACCAGCCACTCCTCGGAAGGAAGGTTGGGCATTCCTACTTCCGTAGTGATACTGCCTCAGAAACCCAACGAGGGGTCGCTATGAGTCGGGGCCGACTCGACGGCAAACAACAACAACAACAACTAGTTCATAAGCCAAGGCTCCTTCCCTTAGAGCAGGTATCACTCACACAGTTTTGCTCTTATTAATTCTGCCATACTACATTATAAGAATAAACCAAGAAGTATTCATATTCTCTAGTTGGTACAAAAATCTCTGGGCTATATTTCATAGAATTGATTCCCACAAAAAAACAATTTCAAAGTTCTCTAACATACCTAACCAGTCTTCTTGACAGTCTCCACATTGATCTCAGAGTTTCTTCCAGTCTTATTCTTGCTTTTAAGCATCAGATCCACCAGATAGCATCACTGTCATCGAGAAGTATTGCACTGTGGAACCCCTGAGATTATGCCCCTTAGACCCCCTTCAGGCCTGGAACTGAACTCACCCTGTGGCTCAACTTTCAGCCAAACAATAGACAGGCCTATAAGGTGATCAGAAACATCAGGGAGGTGCACACTTCTTAGAACTATCAATCACTCAAGATCAAAAGGGTAGCTTTTGCCAGGGATAAAGCTCAGAAGGCAGGAAGGGACAGGCAAGGAGGGAATGAAGATGGTCATTCAATTGATGTCACAAAACAAAATGTGCTGAATGGAAAACCAATTTGCTCTATAAACCTTCACCCAAATCACAATAAAAAATTTGGGGGAAAAAAAAAAAAAGAAGCATTTCATCTACTTAGCTAAGCAAGTGTCCATTTACCTTACACATGCTTCTGGCTAAGACTTGTGGCAATGACACTCTTAAAGAATAAACCATTCTTACTTAAAACTCCCACTTTAATCCACCTATTAACTTATATTTTAATATTGGGATAATTCTATCCTATAGGACACTTTTTGCTGGTATAATTACCAAGAAACAATTCTTAGTCTTTTGGAATAATAACAAATGGTGGAGTGTTAAAAATGGTGTGGGAGAGGCGGCTGAACTCATTTAATTTCATGAGGAGGAGAGAGAATTACCATCATCAACCATCCAAGGCTGATTCGCATGAGGCAGAGGTCAGACATAATTCCTGCTTGAATAATTTCTTTTAGAAGGATCAGCACAAGGCTGGTTCCTATGAAGCAGAGGTTAAAGATGGCCCAAATGTCCAACTTTTCCAAACTGCTGTTTGTTCTAACATCAACTCTTCCTCCTCCCCTCAATACTCTCCCTCTTGTCTTAGGGTCAAGTCTCACAGAACTCACAAACTGACAAGGAAACCACTCAAGCGGTGGTGGAGGCTGGGAGACTGGTAAATCTCAAGTCTGTGGGTAGGTCTGGAGGATTCTTCCCACTCTCGTGGTTGCAGGGGCTGGCAAACTCAAATCAGCCGGTCAGATGACTGGCTGCTGTCTCAATTCCAAGGGTGAGATGATGAAGAACCAAACGCAGGACTGAGCAAAAAAGAGAACTTTCCCAGAACACTCACATATATACCCTCAGGGAAATGAAGGGTGATGACTTGAATCATGCCCTCCAGCAAGGCGGGACTCAAGATACATCCCCCGCAAACAGGCACGTTGTTGTTGTTGTTAGGTGCCATCTAGTCGGCCCAACTCATAGCAACCCCTCCTTGGGTTTTCGAGACATTATCACTATGGAAGTAGATTGCCCCATCTTCCTTCAGAGGAGTGGCTGGTGGGTTTGAACTGCCAGGCTTCTGGTTAGCAGTCAAGTGCCTTAAGCACTATGCTACCAGAGCTCCTAAACAGGCATTGAGAACAGGATTTATAATACATCACAAAATGGAGGATGATGCCAAATCATCATAATAATTAAAAAAAAAATTCGTAAAAAAAGGAGGATGATGGCTAGAAGGGCCATATTAAGCAATTGACTGCATTGAACCTCTTTTTGCCAACTTTTTTTTTTTTTTTTTTTACCAATTCTGACACCAACCATCCCTCCTACAGCACTCTCTACTGCTTTGCTGGGTTTGATAATACCTTGCAATGGCCACAGAGAACTCACAAAAAATACAATTATGAGGGTTATTAGGGAAGCAAGAAGTTATAATTCAAGATCAGAAATGACTCAGGATGCAGGCATGCTTCTTTGGCCTTCGTCCTCTCGGCTCTGCTGCCTCTTGGCCCCTCCCCTGCTTGGACAACTGTTACAAAACACTTTTAGCTCTGCTGATAAATGTCCAGCGGCACCCCATTCTACCAGTAAGCCTCACCACAAGGTGCTCAGCCTTCTTGCTCCATAGGTCTAGAAGCCCACTGCACCATCTCCTGCCAATGTCCTGGTTGTACAATCTCTGCTCTTACCACT